AGTGTCTCTACTTTAAAGAGTCCTCTCCTGCTGATGTTCAGGTGTATATCAGTATGTAGTGTCTCTACTTTAAAGAGTCCTCTCCTGCTGATGTTCAGGTGTATATCAGTATGTAGTGTCTCTACTTTAAAGAGTCCTCTCCTGCTGATGTTCAGGTGTATATCAGTATGTAGTGTCTCTACTTTAAAGAGTCCTCTCCTGCTGATGTTCAGGTGTATATCAGTATGTAGTGTCTCTACTTTAAAGAGTCCTCTCCTGCTGATGTTCAGGTGTATATCAGTATGTAGTGTCTCTACTTTAAAGAGTCCTCTCCTGCTGATGTTCAGGTGTATATCAGTATGTAGTGTCTCTACTTTAAAGAGTCCTCTCCTGCTGATGTTCAGGTGTATATCAGTATGTAGTGTCTCTACTTTAAAGAGTCCTCTCCTGCTGATGTTCAGGTGTATATCAGTATGTAGTGACTCTACTTTAAAGAGTCCTCTCCTGCTGATGCAGGTGTATATCAGTATGTAGTGTCTCTACTTTAAAGAGTCCTCTCCTGCTGATGTTCAGGTGTATATCAGTATGTAGTGTCTCTACTTTAAAGAGTCCTCTCCTGCTGATGTTCAGGTGTATATCAGTATGTAGTGTCTCTACTTTAAAGAGTCCTCTCCTGCTGATGTTCAGGTGTATATCAGTATGTAGTGTCTCTACTTTAAAGAGTCCTCTCCTGCTGATGTTCAGGTGTATATCAGTATGTAGTGTCTCTGCTTTAAAGAGTCCTCTCCTGCTGATGTTCAGGTGTATATCAGTATGTAGTGTCTCTACTTTAAAGAGTCCTCTCCTGCTGATGTTCAGGTGTATATCAGTATGTAGTGTCTCTACTTTAAAGAGTCCTCTCCTGCTGATGTTCAGGTGTATATCAGTATGTAGTGTCTCTACTTTAAAGAGTCCTCTCCTGCTGATGTTCAGGTGTATATCAGTATGTAGTGTCTCTACTTTAAAGAGTCCTCTCCTGCTGATGTTCAGGTGTATATCAGTAGGTAGTGTCTCTACTTTAAAGAGTCCTCTCCTGCTGATGTTCAGGTGTATATCAGTATGTAGTGTCTCTACTTTAAAGAGTCCTCTCCTGCTGATGTTCAGGTGTATATCAGTATGTAGTGTCTCTACTTTAAAGAGTCCTCTCCTGCTGATGTTCAGGTGTATATCAGTATGTAGTGTCTCTACTTTAAAGAGTCCTCTCCTGCTGATGTTCAGGTGTATATCAGTATGTAGAGACACTACTTTAAAGAGTCCTCTCCTGCTGATGTTCAGGTGTATATCAGTATGTAGTGTCTCTGCTTTAAAGAGTCCTCTCCTGCTGATGTTCAGGTGTATATCAGTATGTAGTGTCTCTACTTTAAAGAGTCCTCTCCTGCTGATGTTCAGGTGTATATCAGTATGTAGTGTCTCTACTTTAAAGAGTCCTCTCCTGCTGATGTTCAGGTGTATATCAGTATGTAGTGTCTCTACTTTAAAGAGTCCTCTCCTGCTGATGTTCAGGTGTATATCAGTATGTAGTGTCTCTACTTTAAAGAGTCCTCTCCTGCTGATGTTCAGGTGTATATCAGTAGGTAGTGTCTCTACTTTAAAGAGTCCTCTCCTGCTGATGTTCAGGTGTATATCAGTATGTAGTGTCTCTACTTTAAAGAGTCCTCTCCTGCTGATGTTCAGGTGTATATCAGTATGTAGTGTCTCTACTTTAAAGAGTCCTCTCCTGCTGATGTTCAGGTGTATATCAGTATGTAGTGTCTCTACTTTAAAGAGTCCTCTCCTGCTGATGTTCAGGTGTATATCAGTATGTAGTGTCTCTACTTTAAAGAGTCCTCTCCTGCTGATGTTCAGTTGTATATCAGTATGTAGTGTCTCTACTTTAAAGAGTCCTCTCCTGCTGATGTTCAGGTGTATATCAGTATGTAGTGTCTCTACTTTAAAGAGTCCTCTCCTGCTGATGTTCAGTTGTATATCAGTATGTAGTGTCTCTACTTTAAAGAGTCCTCTCCTGCTGGTGTTCAGGTGTATATCAGTATGTAGTGTCTCTACTTTAAAGAGTCCTCTCCTGCTGATGTTCAGGTGTATATCAGTATGTAGTGTCTCTACTTTAAAGAGTCCTCTCCTGCTGATGTTCAGGTGTATATCAGTATGTAGTGTCTCTACTTTAAAGAGTCCTCTCCTGCTGATGTTCAGGTTCATATCAGTATGTAGTGTCTCTACTTTAAAGAGTCCTCTCCTGCTGATGTTCAGTTGTATATCAGTATGTAGTGTCTCTACTTTAAAGAGTCCTCTCCTGCTGATGTTCAGGTGTATATCAGTATGTAGTGTCTCTACTTTAAAGAGTCCTCTCCTGCTGATGTTCAGGTGTATATCAGTATGTAGTGTCTCTACTTTAAAGAGTCCTCTCCTGCTGATGTTCAGGTGTATATCAGTATGTAGTGTCTCTACTTTAAAGAGTCCTCTCCTGCTGATGTTCAGGTGTATATCAGTATGTAGTGTCTCTACTTTAAAGAGTCCTCTCCTGCTGATGTTCAGTGTATATCAGTAGGTAGTGTCTCTACTTTAAAGAGTCCTCTCCTGCTGATGTTCAGGTGTATATCAGTATGTAGTGTCTCTACTTTAAAGAGTCCTCTCCTGCTGATGTTCAGGTGTATATCAGTATGTAGTGTCTCTACTTTAAAGAGTCCTCTCCTGCTGATGTTCAGGTGTATATCAGTATGTAGTGTCTCTACTTAAAGAGGCCTCTCCTGCTGATGTTCAGGTGTATATCAGTATGTAGTGTCTCTACTTTAAAGAGTCCTCTCCTGCTGATGTTCAGGTGTATATCAGTATGTAGTGTCTCTACTTTAAAGAGTCCTCTCCTGCTGATGTTCAGGTGTATATCAGTATGTAGTGTCTCTACTTTAAAGAGTCCTCTCCTGCTGATGTTCAGGTGTATATCAGTATGTAGTGACTCTACTTTAAAGAGTCCTCTCCTGCTGATGCAGGTGTATATCAGTATGTAGTGTCTCTACTTTAAAGAGTCCTCTCCTGCTGATGTTCAGGTGTATATCAGTATGTAGTGTCTCTACTTTAAAGAGTCCTCTCCTGCTGATGTTCAGGTGTATATCAGTATGTAGTGTCTCTACTTTAAAGAGTCCTCTCCTGCTGATGTTCAGGTGTATATCAGTATGTAGTGTCTCTACTTTAAAGAGTCCTCTCCTGCTGATGTTCAGGTGTATATCAGTATGTAGTGTCTCTGCTTTAAAGAGTCCTCTCCTGCTGCTGTTCAGGTGTATATCAGTATGTAGTGTCTCTACTTTAAAGAGTCCTCTCCTGCTGATGTTCAGGTGTATATCAGTATGTAGTGTCTCTACTTTAAAGAGTCCTCTCCTGCTGATGTTCAGGTGTATATCAGTATGTAGTGTCTCTACTTTAAAGAGTCCTCTCCTGCTGATGTTCAGGTGTATATCAGTATGTAGTGTCTCTACTTTAAAGAGTCCTCTCCTGCTGATGTTCAGGTGTATATCAGTATGTAGTGTCTCTACTTTAAAGAGTCCTCTCCTGCTGATGTTCAGGTGTATATCAGTATGTAGTGTCTCTACTTTAAAGAGTCCTCTCCTGCTGATGTTCAGGTGTATATCAGTATGTAGTGTCTCTACTTTAAAGAGTCCTCTCCTGCTGATGTTCAGTTGTATATCAGTATGTAGTGTCTCTACTTTAAGAGTCCTCTCCTGCTGATGTTCAGGTGTATATCAGTATGTAGTGTCTCTACTTTAAAGAGTCCTCTCCTGCTGATGTTCAGTTGTATATCAGTATGTAGTGTCTCTACTTTAAAGAGTCCTCTCCTGCTGGTGTTCAGGTGTATATCAGTATGTAGTGTCTCTACTTTAAAGAGTCCTCTCCTGCTGATGTTCAGGTGTATATCAGTATGTAGTGTCTCTACTTTAAAGAGTCCTCTCCTGCTGATGTTCAGGTGTATATCAGTATGTAGTGTCTCTACTTTAAAGAGTCCTCTCCTGCTGATGTTCAGGTTCATATCAGTATGTAGTGTCTCTACTTTAAAGAGTCCTCTCCTGCTGATGTCAGGTGTATATCAGTATGTAGTGTCTCTACTTTAAAGAGTCCTCTCCTGCTAATGTTCAGGTGTATATCAGTATGTAGTGTCTCTACTTTAAAGAGTCCTCTCCTGCTGATGTTCAGGTGTATATCAGTATGTAGTGTCTCTACTTTAAAGAGTCCTCTCCTGCTGATGTTCAGGTGTATATCAGTATGTAGTGTCTCTACTTTAAAGAGTCCTCTCCTGCTGATGTTCAGGTGTATATCAGTATGTAGTGTCTCTACATGTCTCCATGCTTTGATGTTCAAAAAGCTCTTTATTTTTCTTCTCATACTGCCTGTGCTGCAGCACCTCTTTTCACCCTCTGTCTGAAACCAGAGCCCAGTCTGCTTTGATTGGTTCGCTGGCCGGCTCTGCTGCTTATATGTCCCACACATTAGCCTATCACGTACAATGTGCGCTAGCCAATAGATTCTGATTAGTTTGTTGAGCAGGTTGGACACAAATGCAGGACACAATAACTTTGAAGAAAATACTTTAATTGTAGGTTATCCAAGCAGAAGAAAGGTAAACAAAAAATAACTTTCCCATGGACAGAAAACAAGGATCTGACTAACAGTGACAGAAAACCTGAACTTAAATACATGAATCACTATAGGACAAGACACAGCAGGGGAGAGCAGGAACAACTAAAGGGAACCAAGTGAACAGAATCAGGTAACAGAGGGACAGGAAGTCAAAACAGACATACTGTAACACAGGGGCTGAACACTTATCAAAATAAAATACGAAACAGACAGATCGGGACAAAAAATGGTTGTACCATGCTGCGATACCCTGAATGAAAGTGGAGAGCATAAAGAGTTCAGGACACTCTTCTTAATGTACTGAACTTGTTACAACAACATTTATAATTATTAGACTCTCTTTGATTTCCTTCCCTCTCCAGACTCTGAGGATCTGGATCCAGATCTGTCCAGGTTGGCGTCTCTGGGTTTCTCCGGCTGTCTCTCGGTGGTCCGCTTTAACTCCATCAGCCCTCTGAAAGCTGCTCTGCTGCACCCGGACAGCAGCCCCGTCACCATCTCCGGACCTTTACTGCAGTCCAGCTGCGGCTCCTCGGCTGCAGCCAATCCCTACGCAGCAGAGAACACACACCACCTGTCAGGTAGGAGAGGACCACGTGGTTAGGTTCATTCAATATCACATTTTGAACACATATGTGTTAAACGTGATGGTTTGGATACTAATGAGGTTTGAGTTTTTGTTCGCAGTTTTCAGGGCGCTTAATCTAAAGTCACATGATGTATCAAAAGTAAGATCAGCTTTGTATGTTTACTTATAGCCTTCTAAACTACTAATATCTAAAATCCTGTAAATCTAGTTAATCCTATCAGGTACAAAACAAGTACCACAACAAATTATAAAAGAAAATAACAGTTTGAGTCCCTACCGTGCCCTACACTGCTCCCACAGTAAATATTCAATGAAAACAAGAATATATATCTTATATCTTAACACTGACGTTGTTATCCACCGTACAGTAGTTAATGGTTCTTCAAGGCTTTTATGATGACATTACGTCAGAAGTTTTCAAACTCTGTTTCCGTCTTCCTGCTTTCATTGTTATCTATATATATATAGTTAGGCATCTCCTGCTGTCTCTCCGTGTCTGTGTGTTGTTACTGCATGCTGTTCCAGATAATATAAGAGTCTCAATAATCCCACAGTTATGACAGAGAGATCAATGCTTTCATTATTTGCTCCGAGGGGAGAGCTTTCTCTTGGGGTTACTGTTTCCTCTGGGCTGGTTCTCCTCCACTCATCTACTTTGAATGATGATGCTTTTTCTGTTCTGATCCATTTATTCTTTAATGTTCCCTCTTGTCTCTTTACTCTCCTTCATATAATGTCTGCATTTCTTTCTCACTCTTTGATATCTTCTTTTCCTCTTTCTTGGTGTCCTTTTTCAAAATATCTTCTCTGTCTTCTTCCTCTGCTGTAGACCAGTCTGGGTCAGTGGGTTCAGGTCAACCTTTAGTCAATGCCATGCGGACTGACTCTGCTCTGATTGGAGGTACTGAACCTTTTCTCCATATTTTACTGCAACAGGAACCGGTTTTACCTTGTTTTATTGAAACACCACTTGTTCTTTGGTACTTTATTGACCAGGCTCATGCACAGGATGTAAGAGGGGCAAGCTGGCGATTTGTGTCACTTTTAAATAAATATATGCCTGGAATTTACTTCTTTTGTGACCGATTTAAGGGATATTAAAATGTATGTGCTCAAACCATCCCATGACCTGGGTTGGTTTAAACACTGGTGTTAAAGGGGCCCTATTATGCTAAGGTACAGGGTTCATAATTGTATTCTGTGTCTCTACTGTGACATGTTTTCATGCTTTAATGTTCAAAAAGGTCTTTATTTTAGACTTTGCTGACCATTTACATGCACAAAAGCACACACTACAGGAAAAGGAAACCCATCCATCCATCCATCTTCTCCCGCTTATCCGTGGTCGGGTCGCGGGGGTAGCAGTTCCAGCAGAGAGCCCCAAACTTTCTTTTCCCTGGCGACATCAACCAGCTCTGACTGGGGGATCCCAAGGCGCTCCCAGGCCAGCGAAGAGATATAATCCCTCCACCTGGTCCTAGGTCTACCCCTTGGTCTCTTCCCAGCTGGACGTGCCTGGAACACCTCCCTAGGGAGGCGCCCAGGTGGCATCCTAACTAGGTGCCCGAACCACCTCAACTGGCTCCTTTCGACGCGAAGGAGGAGCGGCTCAACTCCGAGTCCCTCCCTGATGACCGAACTTCTCACCTTATCCCTAAGGGAGACACCAGCCACCCTGCGGAGAAAACCCATCTCGGCCGCTTGTATCCGCGATCTCGTTCTTTCGGTCATGACCCATCCTTCATGACCATAGGTGAGGGTAGGAACGAAAATGGCCCGGAAGACCGAGAGCTTTGCCTTCTGGCTCAGCTCCCTTTTCGTCACAACGGTGCGGTAAAGCGACTGCAGTACCGCTCCCGCTGCTCCGATTCTCCGGCCCATCTCACGCTCCATTGTTCCCTCACTCGAGAACAAGACCCCGAGATACTTGAACTCCTTCACTTGGGAAACCCCAAAAAGATTAATAGAATTTCTTTCATTAATTATACATGGAGAGGAATTAAGTTTAGTAAATTCTTCTCACATGTTAGCTAGCCACACTCTTACCTAGCCCTCTGACAAAGATGCACTTCCTCTCCTCCAAATTGCTGTCTTACCACCTTCTCCATAAAGACATCGGCACAATGATTCAGCGATAAGAAGATGCGGATATTGTACGGCTAAGATGCTAAAAAAATTCAAATATCATATAATCAAGGCACACAAAGCAACACATATGCTTTAGATAAAGTGTATTAGACACAGGTTAATAAATTGTTTTCTTTCATGTAAGAACATTTTATTGATTTGTAAAAACAAGTGTAACTCTAAAAAGGAAGGAGCCTTTGAGTGCACGTGCCTGTTGTTGACAATCACTCTGAAGTCAGTGATTCATAATGATTTTAATCTATCAAATATTGATATTCAACGATTCGTTTGATGCACATTCTCTGTAGTTAGAAAGACTCAAAGTCACACCTAGACTTTCCTTCACTGTGAACACATGCTGAGCTGTAAGAAAGAGTAAAGTGACGAGCAAGAGTCCATTCAAAACTATTTAAAACTTTATTGCTCTGCCAGCACGGATTGATTCAAAGTGAGCACAGAAAAGGTTTGATCTATCATCGTGTAGATAAAAAAAGGTGATACCCAGAGAAAAGCCATTTGAAAGTGTCCATTGAACTGACCTGACTGTGTCTGCTCACCTAATTAAACCAATGCAGGGACGACTTGCTGATGGGAAAACTATACTGCTGTTATCTTAAAAGAAAAAAAATGGTCTCTTTATAAAGTAATGTCGTATTAAATTGATTTCCGTCATATTTTCAAATTCCAATTAAATGAAACCTGCTCTCATATTCCCAATTGTGCTCAACGGAGCAGAAGAACCTGAAACATTGAAAAAGATTACAAATTATGTTTAATGCACTCAAGAGTGAGATTAGCAAGATATTCAAGGAATTAGGAAATTAAATGGCAGTGGAAGAGGGGGGGGGGGGAATATGCAGATGTTTTGCTCTAATTTTGAGATAGTTTCAAAAGTAAAGGCTTTATTTATTGTTATAATATCAACAGCGTAGTTGGTGGCAAAGTAAACTTTTAAAGGGGCCCTATTCTGCTCATTTCCAGGTTCTCATTTGTATTCTGTTCCTCAGCTGTGACGTGTCTCCGTGCTTTAATGTTCAAAATCTCTTTATTTATCTCATACTGCCTGCAGCACCTCTTTTCACTCCCTCTGGAGGGAACTTTGGGATTTTAACCTTTGCAGACCATTGATATGCACAGAAACCTATACAACACACTACAGGAGAGGGAAAACCATAAACAGCATAACAGGGCCCCTAAGTACCTGGCTCTTCTAACAGTGCAGCATACGATATATTGAAGACAAAAAGGAAGTGCATAAATAATGCAAGAACATTGTGCAAATGACACAATGGAGACAGACACTATGTACATGAAAAATTAACAAGTCCTCCAACTCATAAGACCAAATAGGTCGATTGCTGAAGCGCTTATTACGACCTATAATCACGTTTTAAAGTTTTCGACCTCTAGTGCTCCCGTTGCAAACGCTACGGAGGGTCGTATATTCACAAATAAACCTCTCTGGAAAATCCTAAATTGTAGGATAGTTTGGTCATTAAAACGCTTTTTGATTAGATTTCTAGCGAGAAGTGTGCTGTACTTTCAGAATCCAGGTCCAGTGGATGTGTAGGATCTATAGTTTGATAGATATTACGAAGATGATTTGAGGTCTCGCCACGAGAACGTGTATATGCGGCAGCGTCCATGTAAAGTTAGCATCAACCCTCACGGGGTGAAAACAGTATTTCCGGTCTCGAAGTTTTCATAATAAAACCGTAATCCCCTCTCTGTCAAATGATTTTAAAATCTTTTATATCTGCCGTACTCATCCACTAAAAACATCAGTTTATCCTTGTTAATTACACAACATGAATTGGTTTAAATTGTGTAGCCTACACTGCTTTTGTGTTTTTCCCCTAGGTGTTTCCCTTTCGACTCTGAGGGACACATTTCTTTTTTCAGAGGTTTTGATAGGCTAAAACATTGAACTACCCATAATCCTCAGATATATCGTTGAAGCTCGGTGATTGGATGTTTTAGACGCAATGCACGTTGGGATATGGTGTTTATGCAATATGAAATTCGAAAACATGAAAAATAATAACACTTTATTCCGAGTGTGCTTGCTTTTCTCTTTGAAAGTCATCACATAACGGCATTGTAATACACTGTTCGGCTGCATTAAATATTACATATCCGCCGTAATTCTTTATTTATAGAGCCCTGATGAGAAGACCTTTGGACACACTGGAAGAACTGCCACCGAAACTGAATACGTGACGTGGATCATAAATATATCAGTAATTAAACAACATCCTCCATTTCTTCTCACACAATACGTCTCCTTGCAGTATCAACACTAATTCGACTGACTTTTATATTTGATCCAATTGGTAGATAGGCTGTATTTACACCATAACGGTGCGCAGCTGATAGAAAGGGATTTTTTGTAGGTTTTAAAGATATTACTGATTTTCTTTGAATTAAAGAATGTAAATACTGAGTTGAGAGAATAGTCAGGGGTTTTGGGTGATGGGAGACACATCTATGGAATCACAATTTCAATAGCTTACCATTACATGACGGATATACCTTTCTGTCACAAATCAGATATTATATACACATTAATATCTGATATATTACATTATATATATATCATATATAATATATATGATATATAAATATATATATATGTATATATATACATTATCAGCTATAATATTTCACATATTGTAGTTCTATAGAACTAGAAAATATAGCAATATCCTGTACAATGATGTGAAAACATGAATAAAACTACACATCTTCAGATGTTATACACACATAAGTGTCCTACACTAATAATACAAAGTTATTATGGCATTGTATGCTGTGTGTTATTAACATTAACATCTTCAGAGACTACCTTTCCAACTCCTCATGCAGTTGAATGTTACAGGTCTATACAGGTTCATGGTACAATGCATAAGCTTCAAATCGAGAGACTGAAACTGTATTTTCCTTTACCGTTCTGTTTTAATTTCACAATAAAGTTAATAATAATATTATGTTTGATATTCTTATGTTTTATTAACTAGACCAGCGGTTTTCAAAGTGTGAGCACGTTGTTGAATTTTGTTGTTGAATATTTTATATTTTATGAAAACATTTAAATATTAAGAGTAGCCTGCATACAAAATAGGGGGAAAGTAGAAGGTCAATGATAGAAATATAGAAAAGAAAATATCAAGAAGATACTGTAAGTGATCTCTACAATAAAACAGCTAGTGCAGGACGTCCAAAGATATTAACAGGAGGATGTGCAAAACAGACAAACTAATAAGGCTTAATTCAAACATTAAAGAATACTTTAAGTTAAGGTCTTCCTTTGAATAAGAAAAAAACGTTGGGGTTATCAACAGATAAATATTAAGCCTACCAAAGTACTTAAAGTCTAATATATTGCAGTTTATTTTGGCACTTGACAATCACCTTCCCTGAATTTGACTCAGGTGTAACTAAAGTCTGATTTAAGGGTTGTTTATATTTCACATCATTAATCAGAATCTGAAAAGTAACTAAAATAAATGTAGTGGAGTAAAAATACCAGGTTAACCTCTGAATTGTAGTGGAGTAGAACAAAGTAGTATGCTGCTGTAACAAAAACATTTCTCAACTTGGGATCAATAAAGTGCATCTTATCTTATCTTAAGATGTGCCTCTGAACCTTGACAAGTGCGTGTTTCCGGCTTATCAATTAACAACAGGAGGGGTCACAGACATAAGACCAGCTGGTAAATAAAGCTCTTCTGAAATGAGCTGTCATGTGGGTATATTAATGCTGCCCATGGACACAAGCAATTTTCACCCATTTATTAATTATATGTTTTAAATTTGATAACACCAATGTGTTTCGTATCCCCTAAACCTCCAGGGGTGTACACAGTTTAATACTGGCAACTTCTAATTGTGGGAAATACGAAAACGTCTTTTAAAACTACAATTACCAGTAGAGACGTGCCATAGAGAACATGTTGTGGTTCTGGGGGGGGGGGACCCGTTCGAGTCTGCCGTGGTTGCATTCCATTTCAAAGAGCTGTTTGACGCTCGGCGTGACCTTGTCGCACTGCCACTCCGACATCCCATCACAGAGCTTGAGGAATAATCACGGGGTTTGTAAAGCAAAGCGAATGTTGTAGTCCCAAACGATAGCTGAGGATTCTGAGTAGTGTAGTGTCTTCGGAAACTCACTCAATTAACAAGGATAAACTGATGTTTTTTAGTGGATAATGCAGATATCACTGTGTAATCATTTGACAGTGAGGGGAATACTTCCGTTTTTATTATGAAAACTTCGAGACCGGAAAAACTATTTTCACCCCGTGAGGGTTGACGCCAACTTTACATGGACGCTGCCGTCAATAGAAATGAATAGGGGAAAGACGGAGTACACGTTCTCCTGGCGAGACCTCAAATCATCTTTGTGATATCTATCAAACTATAGATCACACATCCACTGGACGTGGATTCTAAAAGTACAATATACACTTCTCGCTAGAGATCTAATCAAAAAGCATTTTAATGGCCAAACTATTTTAGGATTTTCCAGATAGGGTTATTTGAATAAACGACCCTCCGGAGCGTTTGCAATCAACGGGAGCATGTTGTTTCTTACACGACCACTAGAGGTGCTACACTTTAAAACGTGACTCTGGGTCGTAATAAGCTGAGGCTTTGAAAAATAGAGTAGGATCAAACATACAACTTATTGTGATCATAACTCAGATGTGTGTGTTCTCAAACAATGAATGTGAAGACACTTTACAGAGCTCAGGATTTAAACAATCTAATATTCTGTGGGATAAAACTTAAAGCACAATGGAATTTAAAAAGTGAATAGTGTGATATCTCAGTTTATTACATCTTAAAATGTCCTCTTCCCTGCAGGGGTCATAGCGGTGGTGATCTTCGTGATTGTGACCGTGCTGGCGATAACGGCCAGATTCCTCTACCGGAGAAAAGAGACGTACCGGAACCAGGAAGTGAAGGGGGTCAAACAGGAAGACAGCCAGGACTTCCATTTCAACAACCAGACTGACCCCCAGAACGTCTCCTCTGAAAACCCAAAGGAGTATTTCATCTGACTCAGAGACACTCAGAGACAGATTTGTGCGTCTGTTGCTTTACTGTAAATTGTGAATATACTGATAAACTAAAACAGTGTTGGACTTATGAGATGTTGATACCCTTGTTTCAACTGTAAATATTTAAAAATGTAAATGTTAATTTCATGTCTTTGTAGCGATCTCTGGCTAATGTCACAATTAAATAATGAAGGTCTCAGTACTGTAGTATCCTCTTGTGGTTGGGTGTTCCTTAGAGGGAGATGGGTACTCGTATGTAAAAGACTTGAAATTGGCAGGATGTTGTTTTATATCAGACAGTATTTATTTGTTTGTGATCATATGATATCTCCCATTTTAAAAGGTCACCCACTAACCCCCCCAGGAATTTCTTCAACCTCCAACAATTGACTTCTTTCCACAATCGTGCCGTTTTTGTTTCCCCCTCTTTGAAGGATTAAGCTTTCACGTTGTAAGGTCTGAAAAATAACTTGAGTGAATATTAAAGTAATGGTGCTTCAGTTTGGGTGAATTTCCTCTCACCATATTCCAAACATGAGTCAGCATTTATGAGCCGAGTCTTTGATGTACAAAACAAAGTAACAAAAGTGAGAAGTGAGACCCTCAAAAGGATTTACATCAAGTTCCCTTTGCTTTTTCCCCACTCTTCCCTGCTGTCTGCCGCCTGCTGGGAGCGTCCTCTCCCCGCTCTCTAGATGCCTCTGAAGCTTTTAACGCTGACAGCAGCACAGACTCTATAGCTCTGTGGCGCTCTGTCACCTCTTTCCCTGCACACAGAGACAGCTCATGTGTTTCTGAAATGCTAATCTGCTGCGCTCTGACAGCTGGATTGTGACTAGATAATCCAATAGAAAGTGTCAGGCTGAACACGATGAAAACAGCCTGATATTTACACTTCAAAATGGAGCAACCCCCCCCATGTGTTAATTCAACTCATGTGTAAAGAGAGACACTGATAGAGGGAGGAAGAGGAGCAGCTGCTCATCAAACTCACCTCTCTCTGAGACCTCAAAGCACAGATGGGATTTTAACGACAAAAGTTGCTAATAGTGTTTTTTTCTCCACCAAACAACACGTGCTGATACCATCTCTGTTGCATACCATGTTTCAGCACTAAGAAATACATCTTCTGATAGCAGTTTGGTATAGAAGTAAAGAAACCATGTGAAAGTGAACTTATTGGGTGTGTCTCTAGACGGCAAACAATTGACCAGATCATGCCTCTTAAAAGAAAAGGAAAGAGGAGCATTGGTCACTCAGAAAACAGACTTTTTTAGGATTTTCAATCAAGTTTTCTGTTATTATCAATAAATACAAAAATGATGTCTGCTTATTTGGATCGGCGAATGTGTACAATACTTTTTGGACATTTCATTTTAGCAATCAGGTTTTGCTGAGTACTTTGGATTCCTCTGGTGAGGTTTGTAGTGGATGGATCTCAATGTCACTAAAATAAGGTATTTGTACTTCTTTTGGTGAATAACAGTAATGTAAGTGAGTTTGAGTGACATGCCATGAAACAAACCTGTTTGTAAAATAAAACATGTTTTTTCAGAATCGGGTTGGCTTTTAATTTAGCATTTTCTCCAAACTACTCTGTTCTCTCTCCAGATGTTGCAGAGCATCAGCATCTCCTCAGACGACTGATACACACCTGCACCAAATGCTGGGCACACACACATTTCATTTATGAGGCCTAAATGCAAAGATGAAGGTAATTTAAAGATTGTAATCTTCTTTCATTGTTTTCATTTAGAACAATGAATGATATGAATATAGCAGAACATGGTGACACTGCAGGGATGTTTAAACATTTACTGCTGCTGCGGTAATGATTTGGATGAAGAATGTGCTCTCTCACACATTCCCCCTTTAATAAAAGTAATTTAAAGATTAAGATCAGCTTTCTAAAATATGTTTGAAGGGAAATGAACAGAATAAATGATTAAGTTCAACACTATAGCACACAGCCAGAGCTTTTGTTGGAATATGAATCTGTGAAATTAAATTATAATAGCATGATATTTATTCCAGACTGTGGTCGTTGTTCAACTAGAAGGTTGTAGGTTCGATTCCAACCCGTACCGTCAACATGTCAGTGTGTCCTTGGGCAATATACTGAACCTTGAGTTGCTCCCGATGGCCAATGGTGTATGTATGTGTGTGTGTGTGTGTGTGTGTGTGTGTGTGTGTGTGTGTGTATGCGTGGCCTAGCATTATACTTGTGGGGACCTAAATCTGTTTACACAGTCATGTGTGGGGACTCGCCTCCCTTATGGGGACAAATTGGAGGTCCCCATAAGGGGAATCATTCATTTTTGGGTGAAGACTTGGTTAGGTTTAGGATTAGGGTAAGGGTTAGGGTAAGGGTAAGGTTAAGGGTAAGGGTTAGGGTTAGGCATGAGTTGGTTATGGTTAAGGTTAGTGTAGAGGAAACTTCTGTGTAGCAATGCAATGGGAGTCACCGACTCAGGAAGGAGACACGGTAGGAGCAGTAGCTTTGATGTCAAACACTGATGGTTTATTTGGAGTTACGGCCGGAGGATTCACATCACAAGTCCAAGAGTCAGAGGTTCTGACTTCACGGTAGAGTTGCCACGTCAATTCTGGAGAGCCTCTCTCTTGCCAGCCCATTTAACTGGTTCCACAGAGAGTCATCAACATGTTTTGATAAGATAGCTTTAGATAGTTTGGGCACACTAAGTTACCAGCTTCCGCCACTTATGGCCTTGGATATGTCATGCCCTGGAGTCCTCAGACAACAGAGAAGGAAGTGTCCCAGTGTACCCACAATACAGACCATCTGTGACCCAGTATTGACCGGTCACAGAATGGGAACAATAACATTATTGGCTAAAACAGCCTGTGTCTTTAAAGGAGGTAAACAGACGTCAAGGTTTGTCCTGTATGTCACATCTTGGCGTCTATGATAATTATTTCCATAACAGTTAGGATAGGTCTCCAGGAAATGCATGTAAGTCAATGTAATGTCCCCTGAAGTGATGTATACATGGTATGTGTGTGTGTGTGTGTGTGTGTGTGTGTGTGTGTGTGTGTGTGTGTGTGTGTGTGTGTGTGTGTGTGTGTGTGTGTGTGTGTGCATGTTAGCTTCCCTAGAGCAAGTGGTACTGCTCTACATAAATGAGTTGTGAAAGGGTGAATGACTCGCAGTATGTAAAGCTCTTTGAGGGGTTGAAAATACCTGATGAAGCGCCATATAATTACAGTCCATTTACCATTTATTTTACAATCCATCTGTCACATAAACAGGTCAGATATATAAACAGATTAAAACACACATAAATAAATCCCAGACGCCAAACTCACATCAACCTCAACACAATGTAACCATCTTCTCTCCCTTTCAATCCTGTGAAACTATGTTGCACATTTTTATGTGTAATTGTTTGGCATAAATACAAGTTTAGTGAAGCTACTTTCCTCCCACTTTTGAGAAACTTGGAAAAAGGGAGTGTCTGGGTAATGTTGATGGTTTATTAGGGCTGATGCCATTTCTAAAAACACTTGGCTGTCAGGTAGAAAATAACAAGTTTTACCACAAACTGACACTTGAGGCAGGCAACTATCCGTGCCAATTTGGGAACCCCTAGAGAAAGATTTGCTGCTAAAGTAATGTCTATTTTCATTCTGGAGGAATCATTACTGCCATCCGGGGCATGCAGTCTGAGTGGACACAACAACTTCTGAGAAATATAACACAACACAACATCTCACAATCGATTCGCCCAGCTTGGAGGCAAGAGAAATGTCTCGGAGTAATGAATTAAACATAGCAGCAGGTACAAAAATATATATTAGTGCTTACCGGGGAAACATGAATAATGTATTTTGCAAATGGGTCCATTTAAAACGGAGATAGCTTTTTCCTGCTGGTTTGTGTTCACGCCGAGCTGACAGCTATGGTTTAACTCTCCCACTGGGCAGATTTGGCCCTGTTGAAATGAGGGTTTTAAAAAACGCATTCCCATCTCTGCAGGATATATATATAGCATGTGTAAAGAAAATGTTGAGGTGAGTGAACGTGTTTTCCCCAGATTAAAAACGGTCAGTCACTTTGAGTCAGCAGTTTATTCTTAATGACAGAAATCTCATAAAAAGACAGCCAAGGCGAAATATTGCTGATGCACAAACACAATATGTTGAGGTGGTTGTGAAAGTGATGGATGCAATTTAATTTTCAACATCAGGTGGAGTTTGTTCTCTCAATATGAGGCTTTAGGACAGCATTCTCAATCCTGGAACGATGTGATAACAATGACATGAAATGCATAAGTGGTGACTATTGCCCCTCAATATCTCCATGGATTGATACTGTGTACTTTTTAGCACTCTCTGATTACTACCACAACATTCTTGCTATTCAAACCATTTATTTAAACCCAAAAAATGTGTGTGTTGGCAACACGGTCAAAAACGGTTTGCTAACAGAAGTCTCAGATGTTGTACTTAAGTAAAAGTAGAAGTTACAGAGTATTTCTACACTCTGGTACTTCTACTTTGACTTAAAAAATGATGAATATTTATAAAAACGGGAACAATAAATGAATGAATATTAATGGTTTGGGTCACAATGCCTGTGGATAATTAGCCCATAATAGCATGCATATTAATTGGCAAGTTAACTGATGGCAGGAAAGAGTGGTGAAGATTTAACAAAATGTTGTTTAATGTTTTCAGCATGGGCGAGGCAGGAGACATTATTAAGGCTGAGGCCACTAAGTGGGACTTGTAGACGAGAGGAAAATAAAAGTGTTAGAGAGCGGGAGAAAGGCACTCAAGGTAAAACAATACATCTCACTGAAGTATCTCTGCATCCATTTCTCCTCTACTTTCCCCATTTCTCTCCAAATTGTGGACATTTTGTTTCACACCCAAGGACATCAAATGTCAAGTTCAAGAGTTCATACATGCACTTATCTTTTTTGCACTCCTGTCTTTCTTCTTCTGGCTATTCCTCATTTCACTCAATGATTTGAAATGTAATTAGAGTGTCTTCAGACGTCTAAAACATCTCCTTCAGACAGACATGGAAAGTAGGTGAAAGGGAAGCTGTCAATGGAAATGGTGATCTTTTCAATCTCTGAAAAACTGTATTAAAATATTGATGATTTAGGCCTCATTTAAGGACACTTGATAGACACATTTCAGACACTTGATAACTCATTATAGAACTAATTATCTAAATAAAGACTCTCTTAGAAGTAAATATGAAACTTTTGAGATTTAACTGAATTACTGTCTTTCCCTTCAATGAGAGGATTGTTGATGAAATGATTCAAAGAGAACTTTCAACTCATGGTCAGCTTGTTCTCACAACACATTGCTTTGCTACTCGAACACTAGATACACTTCTAAATGCCACGAGTTGACAGACTTAAGATAACATGCTGCTAAAGGAAATCAACAGCTTCACAAACTCTAGTAGTTTTGCTGCGATTGCAAAGATAACATCCTCTCAGGGATTTATTCTGACTAAAATCCTTTCACAATTAATATTAATAAATATACTTTTGAATGTTGTTAGCTGTAATTTGGTCCTTGATAGTGTTTATTTGACATATAGTCTACAGATTTATATCTTTCACTTTCAACATTTTACTTCTGTTTTATTTTCTATTTTGTTTGTTTATTTTCTACTTTTCTGCAATGTCTTGTTTTAACATGCTGCTGTGACGACAACACAAATCCCAATTTGGGATCAATAAAGTTAATCTGATTTTATATTATATTTGGAAACACAAACAAGGATGATCATGATCTGATTTGAGCAGTTTGGAGACTAACGGATCACAACATCACCGAGACTTTCTCTCAGGGTCAATGGGCGAGCTGTTGGTGGTCACAGGGAGGAGGAGCTAAAAGCTGAGTTTGGGAAGTTGAGGAGAAGCTCTGCAGCCGACTGTCAGAGACACTAATTGGTTTTGCTGCCCGAGGTGGAAAACAGAGGGGTCGGTCTGCAGGTGATTGACAGTTTAAGGGTAAAAGACGGAGCTCAAGGGGCCGGGAAGAGGGGGAGACGGTTGTTTGCAGAGGTCGGGCTGGGATCAGGATTGGAGGTCAGCGTGTGGATCTGCAGCCAGTTTGATTTTCTCTCAGTGAACCCAAGCTACTTAAAGTGAGTCATTGAGAGGAGTTTCAATGAAATCATCTCGTGAAGAGTCATTTAGAAATGGTGTTTAAAAGATCTGTTGGGGATATGTGCATGAGAAAGATAATCCAATGTCTTTAATGTTTCGTTTATGCAAGTGATTGAGAATGTGCACCACTTAGAAAGCAGGTTAGATGATTTTGCTTTACTTTTTATGTGCATTTCCTCACCTTACTACACCTAGATTGTAAAGAAAATGTTACCTCTGTCACAGGTGTGTGTAAAAAGTAAATTGACTAATCATAGTCTCTTAATTCCTCAAGGTTTATTGCGCCAAATTACATTTCTTATAGCCTTGAATGAAGTTCCAAGGTCATTGTGCACCACAGGCTGTTCCTTCGCGTTCCTCAGAGAGCGGCTCACTCTTGTTTCTCTCCATCAGTCATGTAAGGGATGATGACATCGGGGACTAGATTCACTGACACTGATGAGTGAAGAGGGACCGGGCCGACGCCTGGAGCGGGACGTAAAGGTCAGAAGACAGATGTAGCCCAAGGCTGAGAAAAGTTTGATGGAGTCGTAGAAAAGCCACAGAACCTCCAAGACACTTGCAGGCTTCTCAACAAGCTATTGAAATGACCTTCAGCAGCTCTGAGGGCTTTTACTCTTCCTCCAGGTTTGACCCACAGAAGGTCTCTCTCATATTCCTGTTTTAATCTAGTGAAGTCTGCACTGGTCTCCAAGTTTCATCAGTTTTACTTATATGTTCATCTCACAGGATCCCAGTGCTGTGAATTGACACATGTTGAATCTACCAACCCTGTCTCCTAAAAATCACGTTCCCACAGAACTCAACTGCATTCTCAATTACGTTTAGCTGGAAACGTATTTTCTCCCACGTTAAGTTTGTTATGAACGTATCTTAAATACGTTTATTTTCTACATATCTTTGCCATTTATTGTCTTGCTTATAATAATGATAATAGTCATTTATGGCCCGGTTCCAGAACAAAATGACTCAGGGTGCATCTGAGGTTAGAGAGGGTGCAGTGGTAAAGTGCTATTTTTCTAAGTGGACCTAACACCCTCTAGGGGGGTCCTCACCTCCTCTAGGGGGGTCCTCACCTCCTCTAGGGGGGTCCTCACCTCCTCTAGGGGGGTCTGGGGGCATGCTCCCCCGGGAAGATTTTTTTTTAAATATTGAAGTTAAAAGCATCAATCTGGTGCACTTTGAGAGCAACATGAAGAGATCTATGGATCTACTGTATGTGCTCTTTGCTTGATTCATGCCTTCCCAGTCCCTATAGCCTATAAGAGCATGGCGCCAGTTGTAGTAGCCAGTTGTGGTGAAGGCATCTGACTTACTTGAACCGAAATGTCTACATGCATAGCAGAAGATGGCATCTTTTTTTTACATGAATATTCCAGCCAATCTCTGTTTTGAAACCATGAGCTGCAAAATGAGCGCCTCACCCCACTGTACAAACGAGTTGGGTGCTTTTTTAAATATACCTGGGCAGGCTCTGTTTTGCCCAGGTCCTCTGGCACTTGCGGGCCGCTGAGGGGTGGCGGTGTTTGGGGCAACGAAGACGGCTGCGGCTGCTCCGCCTCCGTGGGCGAGGCGGGCAAAGCCGGCGAGTCGGGCGTTAGTGTCCACGACAGTGGCCGCGGGTAACGTAATGTCCCCATGATCTGAACTGTTATTACCTGCAGTAGATGTAGTGTTACTGCTGGCGATTAGGGCTGGTTGTTTTAACCATTTTCTGATGTCCATCATTGACTGCTGTGTAAGAACCTTGCAGATGATGAACGCGCAGCGGCACAGGTCACGCGCACCTGACATAATAACGCTACTTACCGTTTAAATTGACCAAATAAATGCAGCAGACAATGTTATTTAACCACAATTACAATTTATTTTATTTCAACTATATTCTTCTTCTTCTTATTATTATTGTTACTATTATTATTATTATTATTATTATTATATATGTAATATTTTTGACTTTTCATTTTTTTGACTTTTCATTTTTATTTATTTTTCACTTTTCATTTTTCAAATGAGGGTGCATAACGACTCAACTGAGGGTGCAATGCACACTTATGCACCCCCGTAGAACCGGGCCAATATCATTTTAGAGCACACATTTGAAATCGAGAATCGGGCTCGATATATGGTTAAATTAAAATCAGTAGGCGAGGCTGTAATTTCGGCAGCTGTTACTCTCATGAGCGAGGCAGACAATAATTGTTTGAACATGCCAAAAAGCTGCTGTGTCGTTTATTGCACCTCAAACATTAAAACAAATCCAGAGTTACATGTTTCTGTACTTCCTCTAAGAAGAAAGGACAGTAACAGAAGATCTCTGTGGCTTCAGGCTTGATCGCCGTTCAAATGACAGCGTTGGACTCAGCTGGGGGGCCGCAACCCAGGTGTGGGCGGGGCAGGCGAAGAACCAGGAGGTGACGCGGAGAGGAGTCTCGAGTACCCGGATGTCAGCTCCGCAGGACGGCCACCGGAGAACCGGAGCAGGTTCACAAAGACGAGGAAACACGCTTACAGGTGAGAGAAAGTGGAGAGAGGACCGGTGTTGGAGCTGTTCGGACCGGTGTTGGAGCTGTTCGGACGGGTTGCATGGAGCAGCACCCTCAGCCCCTCAGCCTGAAGCAGGAAGCGCTTCCTCTATCTAACTGCTTCAGTTAACCCGTGCATTCACTGGTTCATTTCACCACTGTAGGGCAATATATTTAACTAACAACACCAATAAGTAGAAGAAAAGTGTTTAGAAATAGTTGAACTATTATATTTTTACAGTCTAAAGTAAATAAGAGTACTTCTCCCACCACCGGGTATACATTTACTGTTTAAGGTCGTACTTAAACCTGATCACATCTCTCACTTCCTGAGTTCACCCCGTGCACTCATTGGTTCATTTCATTACCGTCACCAGTGGCGTTTTTATATGTACAAAAGTGGTGGGGCACAACAAACTTAGATGTCTATATATAAGCTTCTGCAGTGACGTGCAGTGAGGTTCATGGCTGGTGAGGCACTGACTCTAGTCTTCAGGTTTACAAATATTATATTTTGACCTAAATCAAAATATAATATTATTTTCAAAAGCTTTTTTAGTCTGATGCTTCGATTAATTTTAAACAGACAGTTCAACAAAAGGATACCCAAAAAATGTAATTTTATCATTTAAATATTGAATTGTTCTCTCTTAGTAAGATCCCATTTTCAATAAAATGGTGGTATTACCTTGACTTGAAGATGAAGTCCATTTGCCTATCCTTCTGGACAAAAATCTCTATTACTTTTTTGTAAAAGTCCTCCTTATCTTCTTGTAGTTTCAAAAGTCCATCATAAATCTAATCGATAGATTTATGATTCGAAAATGATAAAAGTAGGGTAGACATGTGGATATTATCCGGCTGAACAAAACGTGCATTTATCTAACAGGTAGGCTACGTTTCCCACAGATCTTATTTGGAGCTATTTTCTAAAATCCTATGGAGAAATCTCATTGCTTTTTTGTAGAGGGAAACAATGTGCAGCTTACTTCCGGGTTTTAGGACGCGTCACTGCAACTCTCTCATCTCCTCTTCACACACTACACTTTTCGCGGCACACGTACTTACAGCCAATCAGCTCTGAATGATGTGAGATGACGTATGGTGGGGATGGCAGCACTATGCCCCTATGGTCATTATTTTTTTGCCACACACATTAAATTGAAAAATACTCTGAGCATGCGCAGTGTAGTTTTAAGACAGTGAGAGGGAGGGGCATGATCGGGTTCTGTCCCACATGGCTCTAAACCAGTGTTTCTCAAACTTTTTCATTCCAAGGACCACTTAACCAATAAAAAAACACTCGCGGACCACCTAACTCCACAAATATCAAAAAACACATCGTTTTTCTAGAACAGATTACAAATCGCCTGAAAATGGTACAAACAAGTGGCAACATGTGTGATGAAGGTGTTGCGCTCGGCTATATCATGCAATCGAAAGTGAAACTTAACCTCGCTCCATTGCGGAGATATTCCCGCGAGAGTGTGGAAAACTGACATTTATTTATTTATTTCAAATGTGAAATGTTACCAATATACTCACGGACCACTAGGGGGCGCTCACGGACCACCAGTGGTCCTCGGACCACACTTTGAGAAGCACTGCTCTAAACAGCTCAATAGGCACACACTGTAGACACTAATTAGAAGAACACAGACTACAACAGCAATGTACAGACGAATCAGATGATTAAACATGATCTTAAAATATATTATATATATATATATTTTTGTTTGTAATCATTATCTTTAATACTTTCTGCTGACACTAGGTGGGGCTGTGCCTAATGACCAGTCGCCACTGACCGTCACTAAAGATATTCAACTTAGAACACCAATAAGCAGGGAGGGTTACTTTAAAAAAGTCATTGTTACAATAACTAGTCAAATAGTAATACCTCACCTGACTGGCAGAGAACCCACTGCCCCCCGCCCTATATTGTGTAGTAGTGTTACCACTGACAGGTCTCTCTTGAAAATGAGACCTTGTGTCTCGATGAGATTTTACACCTGTATAAATAAAGGCTAAATAACAAAATACATATATATGGTGGTATTTTAATACGTAGGGTGGTATATAAATACACGTGGTGGTATATAAATACATAGAGTGGTATAAATACACAAGGTGGGATATAAATACACAGGGTGGTATATAAATACACATGGTGGTGGTATACATGAATACATATGGGGGTATATAAATACACATGGTGGTATATAAATACACATGGTGGAATATAAATACACACTGGTGGTATATACATACATGTGGTGGTGGTATATACCTATATAGTATATACATGGTTTAAAATGGCATAAATGGCTTCTGTATTGAACAGGAGGGAAAGTAGAAGTACTCAGATATTGTACTTGAGTAAAAGTAGAAGTACTCAGATCTTGTCCTTGTGTTAAAGTAGAAGTACTCAGATCTTGTACTTGAGTAAAAGTAGAAGTATTCAGATCTTGTACTTGAGTAAAAGTAGAAGTACTCAGATCTTGTACTTGAGTAAAAGTAGAAGGATCAGAGTGTCCTGCATTCAAAATGTTACTCAAGTAAAAGTAGAAAAGTATTCTCATCTAAATATAGTTAAAGTATCAACAGTAAAAGTAGTCATTGTGCAGATTGGTCCATTTCAGAATAATATATGATATGTTTTATAATGATTGATCATGAAAGTGTTCTCAAAGCTGGTAAAGGTGCAGCTAGTTTGAATGACTTTGTATACTGCAGGGTAGCTTGTGGATTTACTCCAGGTGGAACTAAAGTCTGATTTAACACTTGGTTATATTTTACATCATTCATCCACATCTGTGAAGTAACTAAAGGTATTAAATACATGTAGTGGAGTAGAAGTACACCATGTACCTCTGAACTGTAGTGGAGTAGAAGTATGAAGTAGCATACAATGGAAATACTCAAGTAAAGTACCTCTAAAGTGTACTTCAGTACATGTACTTAGTTACTTTACACCTCTGGTATTGAACTTATAGCAGTGTCCTCCCTAATCAAAGAAAGAGACAGAGCCGTTTCTCTCAATGAATCCAGTCATGGAGCCGTCACGCTGACTATTTTTTGGGAGGGATTATATTCCATATCACAGCCAGAGACCCTGCAGGTGACCAGGGTAGAACTGTTCCAACAGATCTCCCTATTAACACAATCATGCTTTATATTACAAGTTTGCTCTTGAAGCTTTGCATTATTGATAGCTGTATGGAAAGAGCAAACTTCGATTAAACTTCACTGTACGAAAAGGTTTTTACTCTGAGTTAAAGGGTTATCTTTTGATGTGCTAAATAGGATTTGGAAGTGCCGTTTAAATTCTGACTTCATAATATTACATTACATGTTACTCGTTAGACGCTTTTATCCAAAGCGACTAACATACTCAACACTGTGGGCAATCCCCACAGGAGCAATTTGGGGTGAAGTGTCTCAGGGACACAACGACATGCTGACTGCAGTGTGGTTTGAACTTGTGCTCCCTTGATCCGAACACCAACGCTCTATCCACTGCGCCACACACCCCCCCCATATATATATATATATATATATATTGAACTAAAATGAGTCAAAGCATGATGTGTTTTGTGTGGCTGTCTGAACAGAGGAACGTGCTGCTATCTGTCATAATGTGAGTCTCTTCTCTTTGTAGTTTTAATGGAGAGCAGCAGCAGACACTTTGCACACATCTTCATCTGCATGGTGGGAGCAGTGACAATACTCCTCGTCTATCTGTACCCGGACTGGGGCTTTGAGAGCAGGCATACACCAGCACCAGCATCACTGGCAGCACCAGCATGGAAGGATCCCGGGCCGTATTACGTGGCCTACCCAGGAAACTACAAATTCATCATGGACGACACCCCGACGTGTAAAACCAGGACTCCTTTCCTGCTCCTGGTGGTCCCGGTGGCCCCCGGGGGCGTGGCAGCTCGGGACACCATCCGGAGGACGTGGGGAAGTGAGAAACTGGTTCTGGGTCAGCGGGTCGAGACTCTCTTCATACTGGGCCTACCTTCAGGAGCTGATGCCAAGCAGCAGCAGGAGAAGCTCCAACTGGAAAACCTGCAGCACCAGGACCTGATCCAGAGTAACTTCAAGGACGGCTACCACAATCTGACCATCAAGACGATGATGACACTGGAGTGGTTGGTTGCGCGCTGCGACAAGCTGTCCTACGTCATGAAGATTGACGCCGATATGTTGCTGCACGTCCAGAATTTGGTTAAACTGTTACTGGATCCCAGCACGGCCAAACAGAACTACATGACAGGTTTGGTGTGGTGGCACAGCCCGGTCTTGAGAAATCCGTTCAACAAGTTCTACATGCCGAGATATGTGATTGCTGAGCCGGAGTACCCGCCGTATCCTCTGGGCATGGCCTACGTCATGTCCCTGGACCTGCCTGCCAAGATCCTGGCAGCCGCCCCTCACATTAAACCCATCTTCATCGAGGACGCCTACCTGGGTATGTGCCTGAAACACCATGGCCTTTCTCCCACCAACGCTCCTGAAAACACCATGTTCATGGTAGATCATAGGCATCCTCTGAGCGACTGCAGCCTCTCCAGAGTGATCGCTGCGACCACCACCAGCATCCCACAGATGACCAGTTACTGGGAGAGGAGCAGGGGGGCTAAATGTTGAACTATTCAGGTTTTAAAACTCTGAATAGTCTGTAAGGTTATTTAGCCTCATCCGCTGTTTTTGGATGTATTTATGCTGCCGATGCACAACATGTTCCATAATGACTTCTAACCAGGGGCGGCGGGTACTGTAGGCTAGGGGAGGCTAAGCCTTCCCAAATATTTGTGTCACTGCATCCTAGTAAAATAAAATTATAATGTATAATGTTGGTGTCTTTGACATAAGTGCTGTGAGGGTGGAGTGTGTGAGGAGGGTGTGTCACATCCATGGGCGTAGGAAGCATCCTGAATGTGGGGGGGACATTTTTAACGGGGGGTGTGGGGGTCCTCCCCCAAGAAAAAAAAAAGAAAAGATTTTCTGTATTCTGGTGCATTTTAACAGGTGGTTTGATACTTTTATGTGGCTATACTAGCATGAGGGAAATGATGGGTGCATTTTGTAATTTCATCCAGTAGTAAAGAAAGGAAACATATTTGATTATTAATTCAGAGCCGTCTTTGAATTAATAAAAAGCAGTTTAAATGCCCATTTTTTTGTGCATTGAGAGATATTGTTGTGGAGAGTCATTTATATATTATATATAAATCGCAAAATACATTTGTGAATCCTTCTGTGAGCATTTATTAATATTGAGACTGATCTGACTCCATACAGATGTTAAGTTCACCTAGGAATGGTATCATTGACTTAAATGTTGCTCTTCTGTCTATATTGGTCATATGATGATGCCCCTTGACTGAAATGCTTCCTGTTCAATATCCCCACTGATTTCCTTAACATTCTGGGATGAGAGTCCACATCACAATTGACTCTAAACTGTAATTTCCCTTTCATCACTCACCTCAGCAACGAACCTCTCTCCACTGTCCCTGTGTTCTGCCTCTGACTCACTCTCAAGCGCCTAGATGTCAAGAGAGGTGGTGAAGGTGATCATTATTTATTGAGCAGTATACTCTTTCACATTGAATCATAACAAGTCATACTGAATGTAAATACAACTGACTCTAAAGTAAGTCCCAGTCTGTGTCATTTGACATTTTGAAGACTCAAAGTCCCAAGCAGTAGGTAGAATATTAGCTAGTCTATGTAATGTGCGCAGAAAATAAATAGTTAACTGAATACTGGGATGGAAATGGCCTATAAGCACTCAGTAAAACATAAACACACACAAAAAGCTTCTGAATGATAAGAAGTATAATTAAAACATGATGCACATTATCATTTTGAGAGAGAGTACCGAAGTTAAAGAACTCAGAAAATAATCTCTTATCGAACTGAGGCTCCAGTAAAACACACTGACTGCGTCTCTGGACATCATGGTGTTTACATGAGCACAGAGAGATCGGGTTATTCATGTTCCCTGTTTACATGATAAATACTAGTAACCTGGCATTTCGATGCATTTTCTCATCTAAACTATTCAGTATTTGTATCTCTCTATCATGACATAAAGACGAAACTCCTCTCCAGAAGTGAGACGCTTTTGCCGCCGCCGCCATCACTGTTAACTGATTAACTACCAGCTGATGACTTCCTTTCCTATTCTTTGAAAAAAAATGTGTCATGTCCATGTTGTCTGGGGGAGAAAACATATCAAACCAAGAGATCGTCAGCTTTGATTTTCGCTGTATTAACAATGTCCTGAACATTTGGTGTGAGTGCCTTACCTCCGCTACCGGCATCGCTTCATACAACAGATCTGAGCTGTCCAACTATGGCAACACTCCTTGAACGCGCGCGCTATGGGAGAATCTGCCTTGGTACAAAGTAGCAGTGAAAACATGGTACGGAGTTTCATTGATTTGGGAATTCTCTCAATAAGCAAGTGGAATGGATTTGATAGTGAAGCACTGACACAGCGCTCTACAAAGTGCGGCGAGTGGAGAGACCGATTCACGGACTTTCCACATGGTAAAAGTGGGGGGGTCTAAACTAATCATTTGAAAAAGTGGGGGGGACTTGTCCCCTCATATAATGGCTGCGACGCCCGTGGTCACATCACCTGTGCCCTGTGCACTACGAACAGGGGCGGCGCCAGGGGGGAGCTAGGGGGTGCTGAAGCACCCCCCAGGATTGCCTAAGCACCCCCTAAGCACCCCCAAGAAATATGTGTTTTGTTTTTTTTTTCGAAAATTATTAATATTATTTTTATTAAATTAAATCAGAAAAATTATTGATTACATCAATGCAAATGTGAAACAAACAAATGTTTGACCAAAAACATAAAGCCAACACAGGTGATATGATTAGGCCAATGGCCAGCACCTATTATATTTTTGACCTACCCATAGGCTAAATTACTTTGTGACACTTGAGTGACTTCCTGTTAGCTGGAGCCCCACATTATTTGCTAACAGCAAAGTGACAAATGGATCGTTTTTTAGTCCTTAAACGTCCACATGTGGACACTCAATCAAAACCAACTGAAAGTGAGAGGGATTCTACACATAATAGGCCTCGTGAGTACAAGTAGCTTACTTCTGGGTCTGTTTCATTCAAGCTCTGCTCTGTGTGTGTGTGTGTGGCACGAGCCATTTTGTGTGCGTGCGCAAGCGAGCGAGAGCTCGCGCACCGGTGGGTATCTACCGGAGATCGTTGTGGTTAGCATCTGGTGCTCGCTAGCCAAGCTAACGGATATAAGGAGCTTTTTCAACAACAAGGTGGAGGGAGAACTCTCTCCTGTCAGACGGAGAGTCTCAGATAACCTCAGCTCAGGTGAAGTAAAGGACTCTCAGTGTTTAGATAGTTAACTTTAGTCTAGTTATCTCAGTGGGTCTGAAACGTTTTGTTTTAAAAGGGGAGTGATTTATCTAAGAAATAGAAAATCTGTTTAGAGTTCTGTTTCATATGTATGTTGAGAGATACAGTATATCCATAGATCTCTTCATTTTGTTCTCAAAGTGCACCAGATTGATGCTTTTAACTTCAATATTTAAAAAAAAATCTTCTGTAGCGCTGGTGCATTAATGGGAAACCCTTAATGTTTGAGCACCCTCTATGAAACGTCAAGCTACCCCACAGCACCCCCTAGAGAAAATCTCTAGCGCCGCCACTGACTACGAAGCCAGTTAAACAGACCTTGGATATGTTTGAGTTATCTTAACTAACCCTAACAAACGAGATCTCGCTAGGTGGTCCTACGACGCTGGTTATCAACTCGGTAAATCAAGCCAGCCAGGCTCTCTCCAGCTGAGAGCGCATTCACGTGAAAGGGGCGGGGTTAGCTACATTTGACCAATCACAAACAGGGACAAGTGTACTGACAACGCAGCGTCATACTTCATTAATGAAAAGTAAACTAATATTAGACACATATTAACTTTAAACATCCATGATTTAAACATATAATCCAGGATACAAGCCACATAGTTGCACCTGCAAGGTGAATATATAACAACTAGTTAAAAAATGAATAAACTACAGAGTGTTTGAAAACGTAGGCCTACAACAGGTTTATGATATCACTGCCCCGTCTAAGACACGAGTGGATCTGACTTTAATTACATTTGAGTTGAGTGTTTCGTCAACTTAATGTTCCTGCTCAAGATTAGATTCAGCTTTATTCTTATTGCACATATTACAGGTACTGAGACAACGAAATGCAGTTTAGCTTCCAACCAGGAGCAACAAGCAGTAAAGTGAAAAGTAATGTACACAATAGACAGAATAAAATATAGAATCAATTGAATGATGAATAAACAGTGAGGGGTATGAATACACTAGATCAGTGGTTCTCAACTGGTCAGGCCTCGGGACCCACTTTTTACTTGGTCAATAAATCGCGACCCAACATTTTGAAGCACTCAAATCTATTCAACAAAAAATCGTGCTGTAATATATGCTTTTCAGCATACAATATTAATTAAAGTGAAATACAGTGCATATATATCCCTTATATCCCTTCACAGAACTAAAGTATGCTTTTAGATGAGATAATGGAATCAAAGCTGAACTGTATAAAAAGGCACACATGCTGGAAACCCAACCCCAGCAGGGGGGTCTGGGGGGATTCTCCCCAGGAGATTTTTAGAAATACTAACATGAACTACGCATTCTGGTACAATCTGAGAAGAAAATAAATAAATCTATCACTACCCGACATATTAATAATATGTTATGCCATTGTTTGTTTTTCACTTTGTTCTGAAGCTGAACTTGCTGCTCCTCACTCCAACGCGCGCGCGCACACGCGCGCGCACACGCACACGCGCGCGCACACGCACACACACACACACACACACACACACACACACACACACACACACACACACACACAGTATTGTATTATTGTAATGAGAGAGGTTCCAGGTTGAATTGAGGCGAATATTTGTAATGTTCAGAGGTTGTTGTGTTTAATATTCATGAGAATATTTGTCATTGTTCAAATGATAATAAACATTAGCATAAAGCATATTTGTCCACTCATATGTTGATAAGAGTATTAAAAACTTGAAAAATATTCCTCTAAGGTACATTTAGAACAGATCAAAAATGTGAGATTAATTTGCGATTAAATATTTTAATCGACTGACAGCCCTAATAATAACATCTATCTATACAGGAGATATCACACACATTATTTACCGTAATAAAACATCCAACATGAGGAGCCAACTATGACAGTTAGACTAGTTTAAAATATTTAAAATGAAATGAAAATTATTAATTTTACAAAGTCTATGCTTTTATTATTTTTACTTTAATTTCCCTTTTTTCTTTCATACACAGTTTTAAATAGTTATAATAATATCACTAATAACAATGATTATATAAACTATTACTAGGAATGAAGTAATAAACCTAGAATTAAGTGTAATCAAACACTGCACACTATCCATATTACATATATCCTGTATATTTGACCATACTCAGGCTACTATACAAACACAGGGACTTCCAGTTGTGTATTAAACCACAACGACTGTCAATATAAAAGTGAAAGAGGGTCCTACAGCAGCCAGTAGTTGTCCTCCAGTCCTACAGGGTCACGTTGGCTTCCAGGCTGCAGGCCTTGGCGTAAGCCTCCAAAAAGTGGCAGTCGACCCCATCCACTGACGGGTATCTGCACAGAGTGTGTGTGCAGGCGCTGATGTACGGCTCTGGGTCGGTGTGCTCGTGACAGGCGGAGAAGGGAGGCTGCCTCATGAGATTACAGCTGTTCAGAGGGAAGAGTTTTCCGTGTTACATTGGTTGATCTAGCAGAAACAATGCTGCTTATATGCCATGACAAGACGAGGGTCTTCATGGCTCAGCTCTTACTGGTCGGTGGAGCGGTTGCAGTTGATGGTGCTGTCGACTGAGTCCTGGCATTGAATCTCACAGCTAGAGGGAGACAAAGATCACATTACATCTGAACCCTAATCCACATTATGACACATAGGTAAAATCAGTCAGACTGAGCGGTACCCAGGGAGGCTGAAAGAGGACTTCTCTGCAGTCGGGGTGGTGGTCCAGCTGGAGTTGGAGGGGCTGCCACACAAACCCTCTACAGCTTCAGGAAGTCCTGGCGGATGTGAGGGTACAATTAAAGCTATAATTCAGAAATAAATATGTAATATTCAGTCCAGATTGGAAGTACTGTTCTGTACCTGTCACATGTGCGCTGTTGCCATCAAAAAAGCGAGTCATGTTGGAGGACGGGAACATAGCAGTGACTCCAGTCTGGTCCTTGGAGAGCTCCACGCCGTGCATCAGCTGAGCTGTGCTGCTGAGCACCAGGGCTTCACCACCAACCTACACACACACACACACACACACACACACACACACACACACACACACACACACACACACACACACACACACACACACACACACACACACACACACACCACACACACACACACACACACACACACACACACCACACACACACACACACACACACACACACACACACACACACACACATCAACACAAACAGCACTAACAAACACACATCCCATAGAGGGTTTGTGATACACCACCATAAAGTAAACTCCTAGCAGGAAATGATCAGCACTGTTTGATCAAACACCCCCATAACTGCAACATGCACGTCTTTTTTTCACCAAACTATTTTTTGTATTTTTGATGACGGTTATTGAACCATTCCGTTCACGGAGCTCTGTTCTCTCTCTTCCCGCGGGACCACTGCGAGACCACAGCTGCCAGAGACTCCATTGGTCTCTTTATTCTAAGCTTCTCTCCTGGACGCGAGAACAACGAACAAAGCTAATAGTAGCCTACAGTATGAAGTGATCACACCTGAAAACTGGTATAAAAACCACAGGAGAACGGGTCGTGCTGCTCCTCAAAACGGGCCATGAGAGCGAACGTATCTATACGGCTCTAGAAATCTGACCCAGCCTCCACATAGATCTGGTTCTTGGTTCCAGTTCAGCAGTGCTCTGGTTCCTAATACGAACCAGTTTTGCTCATGGAAACAATAAAAGGACTGGAGAGCTATCGGGCAATAGCTCTGAACTGACCCTGGAACTGCTTTGGTGGAAAGGGCCGGGGTACTATAAATAGGAACAGATTCATCAATAACTGCAATAATCCTCAGGTGGATAATATCCTCACTCTCTCATGGAGGGTTCAATCACATGGGACACTTTATTCAAATCAGTCAGACCTTTATTCCTGATATAAAGAGCACATATTTACGTCTTGTCCGCTTGGCAAACCTCCTCGGGCCCACATGTGACATTAGAGAGGACTGAGAACAGAGTTCAACAGAGCAGGGCTCTGCGCTGGGCCCTAAGTTGGGCATCTCTGAACCCGGCCTTACAGCGCCACCTTGGAGGAGAATGGAGGTAATGATATTACACTTCAGTAACTACAGGCAGAATTTAAGATAGGGCAACAACAGACATGTTTTTTAATATTTAACTTAGAGGATCCCTTTCTTTGGGAACCCCCAGACCAGCTTACCTGAGACTCGGCATCCACTCAGGTCTCGAAAAGTAGTTGCATATGCAGGATCCTTCCAGGTATCCATCACTGTGCCACAGACTTTTGTAGACATTTCCTAGTAAAGGATTAAACAGAATATATTTGTATGTATATTATTTATTTAACAGGGACATTGCACACTAAGAACCATTTCTGTACATTTGCCAGAGTTAGCCAAGAGGCTCTTTTACAGCTGTAGTCCCTGGACAGATGTTTTAACCTTAAAAACACATTTAAAATAACAAGTAAATACAATCAGTAAAAACAAAGGTAACCTCAATACTGTAACAATGAATGAAAGTGTTCTATAGATGCCACTTTTGATATATTTCCTCCAATGTTAGGACATGAAGTAACAGTGAGAGCAGTGGTGAGCTCCTTCATTATTCCTGATTCATATTTCTAATGAACTCCTTTGTCCACTTGAGGGCAGGAAGGAGCAGAAACACCAGCCCCTGGTGCTGTGAGTCCAGCCTTCCCCTGTTAGCTCTGCATGCTAGCAGCTAAATGTGTCACTGATACTAACTCTCTTTGTCTTCATGCTAACACATGATGCTGAGTGACTTCTGCTTCTTGAAACTCTAAGGCTGTGTATGACATTATTTCTGACACCTATCTCTGTTTAGAAGTGAACATAAGAAGAGAGTTTTAAAACGAGAGGCTTAGAGGAGCAAACAGACTGCACTTTATCTTCTCCATTCACCTATCCATGCTGAACTAAAAGCTTGTTCTGTATTCATATGAATTATGTCTGATAGTGATACAAAGTAATAATGGATCAAACACAGTCTCAGTTCTCATTTCTCGGGGGTGGTTAGGGTACAGAAGTCTTCTCAGGGATCAGTTCTCATTCAGAGTGAGTGTAAGGAAGGCTGGAAGACAGCAGCTTTCTAACATAAAGGATTTAGGATATGAGTTTCCCTGGCACACAGAAACAAACAGGAAAACATTGCATTGGTATCGGGACCTGACAAATTGCAACTCTAAACATCGGTGAGGCTGAAGGGTTAACAGCCTCATGTCATACTTACTAAACTAGCAGAAAACAGACGGCCAGCAGCATGAGTTGTATGGCAAGCAGCTTGTAAACCATAATTGTAGAATCCCCATTGCAGCTGAAAGCAGGAACAGAGAGAGAAATAGTAGGAAATGCTTCCAACATTTTACAAATAAACTTAGATTTAAAGTTGTCTTTGCCACACAATGTCTTTGAAATGTTCATTTTGTACAAACAGCTGGACAGCCGGTCAGTGTGTAACAGGGATCGGATCAGGACTCACATCATTTGTAGCACCACTACGGAAATGTAAATAAATTAGACCCTGTGCCTGGGTTTGGATGTTAACAAGAGAAGGGTTAGGGGTAAATGATCTCTTGTGTATATAGTAGTTCAGTTTGTTTGAAGCCACCCCGTCGCTGGTCACCATACAATCAATGTCGTCCTCAGATGCGTAATTTTTTAAACAAACTTCAACCTTATTGCCCATCTTCACCTGCAAAAACAAAAAGGAACTACAATATGAAGGCTTTCAGTCCGAAAAACAACATCGTTTCATCTCCTCAAATGTTTGAGCTGCAAGGTGTGCTTTTAGCTACGGAGAAAAAAGATAGGATCAATTATGAGATCAAAACATTTCTCTCACTTTGGAAAAAATCTTTCTACAAGCCACTGTCCAACAAGTCTTTATGTCTCCTTTCATACAGAGACACATGTGGAATCAAAGTCCATGAGACGCGTCCAGCTGCTTCAAACCACTTCCTGTTGGCTCTAGTAATGATCTGTCCCCACTCCATTGAACTGATCTGATCGCCCCTTGGTGCAGGAGGTCACTGGTTCGAATCTAGCGTCGGACGATCAATATTTATTTTTGTGTGAATGAATTTTTTTGAATGGAAGAGGGGAACCAATATTTATTATAGAAATGCATGGTCTGACCTTAACATGCGTGGTCTCAGTCTAAGCGTCTTTGAGTGGTGAAAAGTGCTATATAATTAAAATGTATTATTATTATTAAGCAGCTTTGTAGGAGTGTGTAAATGAAGTCTCCAGGACTTTGCAGAATTCTAAAGAAATGACCAGAAAACTACTTTGAATCATTTAAAACCTTTATTTAAAAAAGTTCTTTAAAAAAAAAAACGTAAAAATACACAGCACATTGAAACTTTGTGCATTTAGAAAAACAGTAGGATACACATCTTTGTGAGTTCTCTTCGCTACACGCCTTGGCCGCTTTCTGATGCGATAGGATACTTTGTGGGGGCTCTTCTTAAGGGGGGACAACAGGACCCTGCACTTTCTCTGTTGGCACAAAAAAAGAAAAGCAATTTTTAATGAACTTGTCACGTTGGGATTCATTCATTGTCATATTGTGCTATTTTAACAGTTTTTAATCTCAAAGAAAATCAAAATCTTTAATGCTATATTTTTTTAATTGTGAGATTTTGACTACTAACCCGGCTCCTTGTCACCGTTGGGGTGCTCTTGTTGCAATTTATCGCTCCCTCCTCCTCTTTGTCCTCCTCTCCTCTCCATCGTCTTTGTCCTCTTCTCCCTCCTCCTCGTCTTTGTCCTCCTCTCCTCCCTCCTCCTCCTCATCTTTGTCGTCCTCTCCTCCCTCCTCCTCCTCATCTTTGTCCTCCTCTCCCTCCTGTTGGATAATAAGACAAAACAGTTATCTATCTATACACTGAACAACAAATTGGTAACTAGACTCTTGTCTTTTAATTACGTCAGACTGAGGTGGGGTGCTCTCTTGCTTCTTCGTACTCACCGCTCCCTCCTCCTCCTCCTCCTGTGCCTCTTCAAATAGCTGACGACCTTTCCGTGTCTGCTCCATTGTATAGTATGTGTCCGACGTCTTTGTGTCATGGCACATGAGACGTGCCATTTTTTTCCATTTCTGGGAGTGTTCCCCATGTCTGTCCCTGGCCTGAGGCAGACAAAGAAATAACAGACAAAAGAGCAGAGTGCAAAGTTTAGGTGAGGTAAAAGTGAGCACAGTAGATCAGTTACAGTATTACATTCGTGTAATTTCACTTACAAAGGTTTCCACGGCGCTCCTCAAACTGGTGAAGGTAGCTTCCCCGCTCAGCTGCATGTTTGACCAGGCACTCTTGAGGTAATTGTTCAGGTTCATGTCCTGGCTGAAGGTGGTGTTAAAAAACAAGAATTTTGACACTTCTTCTCCTCCTTTGGCCCACTTTTTTTTCAGACTGATGATGAATGAGAGCCAGCCGTACTCTTGGTCAGTGAGCAGCATCGTGGCTGTCCCAAAACTCTCATTCGTCTTTTGCTCCTCCACCTATTTCGAATCATAATCACAATTAAGGTTACACATACAAGGAATGTGCCTTGAATATACTTTGAAAAATGAGTAGAAATCAAGTGTTTACTTTGATGAGGTAGTCATTCTCCTTTGGTCCGTACACTGCCTTGCTGACCTGCTCGTCGGTCAAGTTAAGAAACACTCCGGCTTGGTGACCGTAGAGAGAAGCCAAGTAAGCGAGGACTAAGCCAAACAGTTTATTGCGGTCTGTTGTGGTGTGGTGCTTTTCCAGTTTAGCTGCAATGACAAGAGAAATAAAATATGTATTATTTCATCCGTGTATTTGAATTGCTACATCAATGACATTAATTATAACACATGTATTGTAACGTACAGATGACTTTGGGGATGGCCACCAGTGCCAATCTGCGGCACTCCTGGAGGTCCTTGATGGAATGCAGTGCGGCATCCTTTTTTTCTTTGACCCTCAACTGGTGAAGGACCACAGGGCGGTTCCAGGACTTTATTGAGGCCGTCAACTCCTTGATGACCCTCTTCAGATCATTCTTGTTGATGCTCGAGGAAGGAGGTGGCATCTCTTGGATAAAACGGAGAAACTGTCGCACATTTTTTAAATAGTTCAGGGTCGTTGATAGCGCCAACTTACTTCCCCTCAGAGACTTCACCCATCTACAATACAAAGACATAAGCACAAAGATAATCATTAACCCTCATGTTATATTCTTTTTTTATGTAACAGCAATAATATTGTACTGTGTAGTTTTTACCTTTTATTACCATCAATTCAATCAATATTTAGCGCAATTGTGATATTGACCTGTGTGTGTGTCTGTCTATCTGTGTCACACATGGGACAACACTAAAAATAAGAGTCACTTACTCCCGAAGACGGTCCACATCGCACAGGAATTGCAGTCTTCCCAGCTGTGTCTTGTCCCGGATCATCCATCCTACGAATGTCCTGATCCTGTTCAGCTTTGACTGCACATTATTTAGGAGCTTGGGGGAAGGATCAGGTCCCTCTTGCATCTTTTTAAAGCATTCCAATAAGACGTCTGAAAAAAAGATAGGGAAACAATCTGTTACTAGACGACTAACAAAAAATGTATCTCTATAAGGATCATGGCATTTATTCTACCAGCACCCACTGAGGTCCGGGAATTCCGTCGACCGGCATGAATAGAAGGGGCCCGCTTCCGATGTCTGGAGGGCCGGCGGCTCTGCGGGTCCAAATATCTGCATTTGTTTCTGTAACTTCACATATTTGCGCTGCAGCGCTACGTAGGACCTTTTCAATGTTCTGTTATAGCCATGGGCTACTTGGAGTGCATCATTCATAGAAACAATTGTCCTCTTTAACTTGGCCACCAGGCCTTCTCCCTCCTCTCCCTCCTCTCCCTCCTCCTCCTCCTCCTCCTCCTCCTCCTTGTCCCATTCCAGGCCTGAAAAGTGATGGAATATAATTTTGTTATTACTTAATATTGTATAACTCATGCATATGGAATACGAAATATGACTCAATTATCAATAAATAAATGCATAAATAAAATAAATATAATACAAAATAAAACGTTCAATAATTAAATGGATGAATCCAATAATAGTATAAATTAATAACTACAATTATATCATACTGTTCACTACAGAGGACAATACCATTTCCATACAAAACATTAATCTGTTTAAATTCAGCTAAACAATATTTCAGGGCTGATAGCCAAAAGCCCAATGTTACACGGAAGGACATAGTCTTCACTGTGCATAAGATATTTCTGTGCACATGCTAACCGCTACCCGCTAAGCTAGCCGGGCACATTCAGGGCATTTTTCAATAATTCTAAACATTTTAAATACATTCTGCTAACACAAGACTCACCGCTGATTGCAGCAATTGTTAACAAAACATGAATCGTTGAGGAATCACTGTGTGTAGACGCTAGCATCAATGTAGCTACTAGCATCACAATAGCCATGTTTACATAGGTACTGCAGCCTGCTAGGATTTAACACGCGGAATTAACACACAAATGCATACCAACAAAGTATAAGTACAATACCTTCTGCCTGATCCAGGTCCAGTCTGGACACCATTGGCACCGTCGGATTGGTTGCCCTCAGCCCCGCCAACGTGTCCAACATTAGACGTTTCCTGACAACTTTCAGTAGCTTGTCTTTGGATGCAGCAGAGAGTTCTTTGTGGGTATTCATGTGGCGGTCGAGACGGGTAAATGTACCCTGAACACATGACGGGACTGGGCACTTATGTAACCTCACAGAAATCTTGCCACCAGCCAATTTAACTAAAAGTTCCCTTTCATCCTTATTCCACGCTTTGTGAGTGACTAATAAATGTTGATTTAAAGCCGTGTAATCCTTCAGACACATAGGGCATGTGTTGACCATAACTGAGACAAAAAATCCCGTTACTGTTGATTTTTGTTGAGTAGAAGAATATCAGCTGTTCTCTTCGAAGTGTGTCTCTCGAAAATGAACGTGCATCTTCTGCATCTTCTTCTTCTTCTTCTTCTTCTTCTTCTTCTTCAGTGTTTATTGGCGGTTGGCAAACCAACTTGTAGGTGCATTACCGCCACCAACTGGACTGTAGTGTGGACAAGAGACTATGCAGAAAACAATAAACAAAACAAACAAAACAAAGAACCAAAACTCTAGATTATTTTAAATGTATCAATTTCTCTTAGAAATGTAATAATCTCACAATATATATTGCCTGATGTTTTCATGGGAGCCTGCCTGCAGACCTCCACTCTCAGGACAGTTCCGGTGCAGACCTCGGTTGCGTTCCGATTATCCAAAAATCAGGTCCTAAATTCTAACCCTATCTCCTATTCCTTGACCTCTGAGTGAAACGTCACGGGGTTAAGGGATAGTGGATAGGAGAATTCAAAAGGATTTAGGAGAAGAGACCGCGGTACTTTAGAGAATCCGAATGCACTTTCACTATCCGACGTGTTTATGATGCGCCAGCGGACGTCATGAATGTGCGTCTGCTGCTGTGGGGAAACTATGGGAACTACAGTTTTCTATACAGCGGACAACAACATGGATGTTTAATAAGAACGAGGGACTACTGTAAACTCATCTAGAGACTCTGCTCCGTGCTCTGACGCTGTTGCTTTATGCTTTATGAACGGGGACAACAGAGAAACATATTCTTCATGACCAAAGTTGGAATTGAAATAAAAAAGGAAAGTGAAACGTATGCTCGTCACCCTCTCCCTCCGGTCCACATTAATACAAATGATCCCAATACGTATGATTGTATGAACTATGAAAAGATCTTAAAATCAATACAAATGTATTTATTATAAACGTTAGTCCTTAACATCTATCACTGTGTATATCACCATTCAAACATCTTTTAAAAGTTGAACAAACCCCACACAGCTCAGTAAAGACTGTGAAATGTTGACTTTATTTGATCATTTCAGTAAAAACTAACGTTCATATTTCTCTTTTTGATTATAATACTGATGAAAGTTCAGAAAAAAGCACTTTGGCAATTTACCACATAGCCTACGTTTTAAAATGCTTAATAAGCACCGTAACTTCCATGATATCATTTCTCGGTCATAATCGGTTGTTTCCGTGAACGGCCGACTGTTGTGTGACGGCAAATGCTGTGGCTGCAATGCATTGTGGGGCAGCATTTTCTCCTCTCCTTTCGGTTAGGGAGGTCCAGTGGTTCCTAAGCTAAAGGAGGTTATAAAGGAAGTTTGAAACCTCCTTTCCTTTCATTTAGAGAATTGGAACGGCACTTATCATGGCTGCCAGTGACGTACTTCCGGGTCATTTCACTCCGTTAGGAAGGTTCGCACACACACAACATAACAGAAATAATATCGATAGCAGTTTCCCTAGCAACCACCTTGGAAACAATGAAAACGTTGTATCGACACAATTTCCTGAAGTAAACTTCGTAATAACCAGCAAACTAAAGATCATGTGCATCAACTGCACACATAATCTGAAATAACAACTCATATTTCTCGCATCAAATGACATCAAAACGCATTTTAATGGCCAAACTAACTTTAAAATAGGCATTTTACACCGAGAATAAAACGAAGTTCGGCCATGTTTTTTTTTTTTCTGCAGGAAGAAATGTGGAGATCACGTGACATAGACGCCAGCCATTGGAATGAATGGTGAAAAAAAACGTAGGGATCTTACAATTTCAGAGGGGTTTTTGCAGAAATACTACGTCCTACGTTGTGGACCAACGTAGTTATTACACGTTTTTTTATGAGACTGAGTTGGACAGACGGGTCTCAGTTGGTTTGGTGACCTCTGCTTACTTTTAATACTTACGTAATTTCAATTCCCCATTTCAGCGACCATAGGGAGGGGGGGGATATATCCAGTCTCTGATTGTGTTATTATGAGAGTGCTCTCATACTTTAAATTGTATATTGTGGTGACACGTTATTGGACATAATTCACCTTGCTTATTGTGTTGCCACACGGACCCTTTAGTGGGGAACACCTGTAGCTTTAGCTGCCATTCCTGCTAGCTCATCAGGCAGAGCAGTGCATGTGTTAACCTCTCTGAAAGTAATGGATAATAAAGATTGGAACTCCATTCTTAATACACCGCCTCCGACTCTCTTTTCACGGCACTACACTGGTGACCCTGACTTTTCCGAGAAAGTTTCCGGAAAATTAACGAACATGGCTGAGCGCGATGTTTTCATAAAGCTGCCGGAATTCTGGGAGCACGCCACGGAGGCATGGTTCGCACACGTGGAGGCACATTTCGCCTGCCGACAGGTCCGTGACGGGGACCTAAAATACTACCATGTGGTAGCAGCGCTGGGGAGCTCCACGTCGTCCAGGTTGGTGGGATTCATCGCAGCCCCCCCACATCATGGCAAATATGAGGCGATTAAGGCCCTTCTCCTTAAGACATTTAGCTTATCTGCTAAGGAGAGGGCCCGCCAGATACTTGACATTCAAGGCCTAGGAGACAGCAAGCCATCCCAGCTAATGGAGAAAATGCTAAATCTGCTAGGGGGGGAAGATCCCCGGATTTTATTCACGGAGATTTTCCTGCGTCACTTGCCTCCCCGGGTACAGACGGCGCTGGCCAACACGCCTGTCACGGAGCCCCGTGCTTTGGCTGAGGAAGCGGATCGTTTTTTCCTGGCTACACAACAGCCCGGGGCAGAGACGTTAGCCGCGACGCTCAGCGGCCCACCGGCAGTCAAGAAAGCGTGGCGGAGGCCGGACACGGCTGTGGCTAGCCGGCGTGGAGACGCCGGAGAGTGCGTTTACCACGCACGTTTCGGGACAAGGGCGAAGAGATGCATCGCTCCGTGCAGCTACAAACCCCCGGGAAACGGAGGGGCCGGCGCTCAGTAGTGGCTCTGAGCGTCGGCGGCACGTGCAGGCTCCTCTTCGTCAGCGACAGCGTTTCGGGGAGCTTGTTTCTGTGTGACACGGGCGCTCAACGGAGCGTAGTTCCAGCGTCGAGTGAAGACGTCGCCCGTGGGGGGCACGGACCGCGATTGACGACGGCTAACGGCAGTCCCATTCGCACGTACGGCGTGAGGCCTATGTGTTTGTGCATCGGAGGACAGCGTTTCAGCTGGGATTTTGTGACAGCGGACATTTATTTTCCCCTCCTCGGAGCGGATTTTTTGTGTGCTCATGGACTGTTAGTGGACGTTAAGAATAGGCGTTTGGTTGGTGCCTTAACGTTTTCTTCCCTCGTGTGCACACTTGGCAGCGCAGCGTACAGTCAGGCTCGCTGTCAGGTGCAGACACGTTTCTCAGACTGTTGGCCGAGTTTCCAGACCTGTCGCTACCCACCTTCTCTGCGCTTACCACTAAGCATGGCGTGGAACACCACGTCACTACCGGGGGCCCTCCTGTCTACGCCAGGGCCCGGCGGTTGAACCCTTCTAAGCTGGCTGTAGCGAGGGCGGAGTTCGCAACCATGGAGCGCCTGGGCATTGTCCGCCACTCCGACAGTCCTTGGGCTTCCCCCCTGCACGTTGTTCCCAAATCGAACGGCGGGTTCCGCCCGTGCGGGGATTACCGCCGACTCAACGACGCCACTACGCCTGACCGCTATCCGGTGCCGCACATTCAGGACTTTTCGGCTCATCTGGTCGGTACAGGGGTGTTTTCCAAGGTGGACCTGGTGCGTGGATACCACCAGGTGCCCATGCACCCCCTGGACATTCCCAAGACAGCAGTGATAACGCCTTTTGGACTTTTTGAGTTCCTGCGGATGCCTTTTGGACTCAAGAATGCCGCTCAGACGTTCCAGCGCCTGATGGATTCGGTGCTGCGGGACCTGCCGTTTGTGTTTGTTTACCTCGACGACATACTCGTCGCCAGCGCTTCAGTGCAGGAGCACCTGTCCCACCTCCGAACCCTTTTCACACGGCTCAACGAACACGGATTAATCATCAATCCTGCAAAGTGCCAGTTCGGGGTGTCGGACATCGATTTCCTGGGGCACCGCGTCACCAAGGGCGGTGCAACACCTCTGCCAGCGAAGGTGGAGGCTGTTGCGGCGTTTCCTCGCCCGCTCACAGCCCGGTCGCTCCGTGAGTTTCTGGGGATGGTGACTTTCTACCACCGTTTCATCGCCCGGGCCGCACACATCATGCGGCCGCTGTATGAAGCGTTGAAAGGCAAGACCCCCGTCCAGGAGATCGACTGGACAGCAGAGGCGGACGACGCTTTTGCTGAGGTCAAGACCGCGTTGGCTCAGGCGGCTTTGCTGGCACACCCATCATCTACGGCTCCCATCTCCATCACCACGGACGCGTCAGACTACGCGGTCGGCGCAGTGCACGAGCAGTGGGTGGAGGGCGCTTGGCAGCCGCTCGCCTTTTTCAGCCGCCAGCTGACGCCTAGAGAACGCAAATACAGCGCCTTTGACCGGGAGCTCCGCGGACTTTATTTGGCCGTGTGGCACTTCCGTTTCATGCTGGAAGGCCGTGAATTTACGGCGTTTGTCGACCACAAGCCGCTCACCTTCGCCATGTCAAAAGTGGCGGAGCCTTGGTCGGCACGTCAGCAGCGGCAGCTGTCCTACATATCGGAGTTCACTACGGACATTAAGCACGTGGCTGGCAAGTCGAACCTGGTTGCTGATTGCCTCTCCAGGGTCGTCATCGGTGCCGTCCAGTTGGGCCTGGACTATACTCGCATGGCGGCAGACCAGGTCACAGATCCCGGCGTCCAGGCCCTGAAGGTGGAGAGCGCGGGGCTGCGCTTGGAGGACGTGGTGTTCGGCGACGCGGGCATTTCTCTCCTGTGTGACGTCTCTACGGGCCTGGCGCAGCCTGGTGTCCCTGCCAGCTGGAGGCGTCCTGTGTCCTGTGTTGTGCACGGCCTGTCACACCCCGGCGTTAAACCTTCGGTGCGTTTGGTAGTGGCGAAGTTTGTTTGGCAAGGACTGAAAAGGGACGTGAGGACTTGGGCCAGGGAGTGCGTGGCTTGTCAACGCGCTAAGGTGCACTGCCACACGAAGGCCCCGTTGGAGCGTTTCCTGGTGCCTGAGAGGAGGTTTGATCACGTCAACATTGACCTGGTTGGTCCGTTGCCTTCCTCTCAGGGGTTTTCCTACCTCCT